AGTGGGCCCAGAGAGGACATGGAATTAGAAGACCTTAGCGGAGGGAACATGGATGAGGCATTCTACCTTGTTTTGCCTGGTATTCAGGAAACAGTGAACAAGATACTGTCTTCAGATAGAGAGCTAATTATGCTAAGTGTGCATACATAAAATATCCTCTCTTTTTTTTTTTTTTCTGAGACAGTCTTGCCATGTAGATCAAGCTGGTCTTGAACTCACTGTGTGGCTCAGGCCAGCCTTGAACTAGTGGTGATTCTCCTATTACAGGAAATAATACTGAAATACTGTATCTCCCAACCTGTTGTATGATATACTGAGTTCTTATTCTCTAAAAATTGAAGAATGAATTATAGAAACAAAGGAGGCTAAGTGTAGGAAGATATTTATTGATAGCTTTTGAGGGGCTGGAGGGACCTCAGGTGGGTAGCTGGGGACCCACTTTATAGAGAGGAGTTTTATAGGGTGAAACCCATGTGAGTATAGTGTGGGCCATTGCCATGGACAAGGTTATAAGTACAGTCACTTAGGGCCAGGGATTTGGCTCAGTGGTTCCGCCACCTGCCTCACAAGTGCAAAGGCCCGAGTTTGATCCCCAGTACCAAAATAATAAATAGATAAATAAATAAAACCAAGTACAGTCACTTAGGTAATGGTGGTCCAGTTGGGAAACAAGTCACATAACAAGCATGGATGGAAAGAGCAAAGATTCTCCTAGGAAGGGGTGGGTCCAGAGGCTTCTCGTTACCCACCAGGGTGATTGATGTCTGTCTAGACTTCACCAGGTTCAGTGTTTACTCTTTGAGGAAGTATGTAGATCTGGTCTTGTCTGTATCTTGAAGCCAGGTTTTGAAGTGATATGTCTTTGATTGCATCTGTGGTGTGTTTCTCCTTTGTCATGACCCTCTTGAGGACCTAGCCCTATCTGACTGCCTGTAATGCCTCTACGTAACTCATCTGCCTGTAATACACCTGCCTCAGCCTCTCAGATGCTGGGATCACAAGTGTGCACCTGGCCAAGTGCACCATGCTAACCATTTCAGGCATACGGTTAAGGGTCATTGAGTCCATGCACATCATTGTGCAGACCCTACCGTCATCTTGGCTCCAGAACTTTTCCATCTTCCCCAAGTGGAACTCTGTACCCATTAAACACCGACTCCTCATGTCCTTCCCCATCCCAACAACTTCCCTTCTGCTTTCCAACTCCCCTCGGTACCTCATATAAGTGGAATCATATATTGTCTTTTGTGATTGGCTTATTTCACTTAGCATAACATCAAAGTTCATCCATGTTGTAACATATCAGGATTCCTTTTTAAAATTAATTCTTTTTACTTTCCCTTCCTAACTGCTCTCCATCTTTTGGCAGAATTCCCCTTTTAAGACTGAATAATATCCTAAGGAGGGGGTGAAGGGAGGGTAGAGGTATGGGGAAAAAATGAGAACCAAGACCTGTCATGTAAAGGTACAAGATCCCAATGATGAATGTAACTGTACTGTATACCTAAAAAGTACCAATAAACTCAATTAAAAATAAAATAAATAAATTACAAAAAAAAAAGACTGAATAATACCCATTTGTCTACCCATGGATACTTCTGACCATTGTGCATTCAGCTGTTGTGAACATGGGCCTTACTCTTCTTTTGTTTTGTTTTGTTTTTTGGTTTTTTTTTTTTTGTTTTTTTTGGTTTTTTGAGACATGGTCTCACTATGTAGTTGAGACTGACCTGGAACTCACTATGTAGCCCAGGCTGCTCTCGAACTCACAGTGATCCTCCTGCCTCAGCCTCCCGAGTGCTGGGATTACAGGTGTGTGCCACCATGCCTGGCTTGTTTTCTGTTTTCTTGTGGTATGTGGATTGAATCTAGGGCCTTTGCATTAAGGTACATCCCCAGCCCTTTTTTTTATTTTTTTTTTTTTTTGAGACAGATTCACTAAGTTGCTAAGTTGCCCAAAGCTGGGCTCAAACTTTTCAATCTTCCTGCCTCAGCCTTCTAGAGTACTGAGATCACAGGCTTGCACCACGCACAGCTCCAGCTGGGTCTCATTTTTAAGAGAAAATTAACACCCACAAGTGAGTAGCTAGTCTTAGCTACTTGGAAGCTGAGGCCATAAGTTCATTTGAATCTACAAGTTATAGGCCAGCCTGGACAACGTAATGAGCCTCATCTGAAAGAGAAAAAATTATTGTCAAAGTAATAAAAGAGAGAGAGAGGCTGGGGATTTAGCTCAGTGGTACTGCCACCTGCCTCACAAGCAGATGGTCCTGAGTTCGATCCCCAGCACCAAAAAAAAAGGAAAAGAAAGAGAGAGGTAGTGAAGACAGAGACCCAAGGGTAGATATCACAGGAAGACAGGCTGAAAGTATAGCAGGAAAACTTGAGTAACTGAGCCCTTCCCAAGGCCTCCCCATAGGTGGGGAGCCCCCCCAGGGACTGGAAGGCGCCCCTGCAATAAGAGACGGTGGTTCCCATCTCCAGTGGAAGGCTCCCTGAGACGCGGTGGCCAGGTCCAGCAGAGACGCTGACTCCCATTTTACTCATGGTCCTGCTGTGGACACCAGAAGGGGGCAGCACTACCCGGCCGTCTGCTTCTTAGCACAGGCCATGTGGGCAAGCGGAGGTCAGACCTCCACTTCCAGAGGGCCATGAGCTGCCCACCTCAGCTTTGGGGAAGAAAGGCTCGTTGGTCAGTGAGGAACAGTGGAGAAGAGGCAGGCGGTGGGCGAGAAGCCAACTGCCACAAGGATTTTTCCCTCTTTTTGGCAGCTTCCCCAGGTCCTGCTTGCTCTGGTGACAATTTCATAGATGGTATTGTCAGTGCCAGTACTCAGGGCTGCCATAAAGTTTAATGGAAGTTGCTGCAACCTCCAAGGAGGGTGAAATGTGCGCTGTAGTGGGGCCTGGGCAGCCAGAGGACAGATTGGGTGGAGAGTGGGAGCCGAAGTCCCCTGGCTCTGCCCGGTAGCCTCCTTTCCCGAGGCTGGTGTGTTCCAGGAAGGTCTGGAGCTGGAGTCTGAGAGCAGCGCGTGTGCATCTGTGCAAAGGGACTAGGGCTTTGAATGCACCACAGGAGTGCTCTTCAAAGGTACCCTGTGGTGAGGTCTTTTGTACAGTGAAAAATCCTTTTGTAAAGTGAATAATTGTACCCTGTCTATCTACTTTGGGATTCAGAGTTTGCAGAGATCCTCAGGGGACAGAGGGATTTGTTTGAAGGCCTTCTGGTGTACCCCCTTCCTGATGCCCGATCCTCCTCTGGAGCATTCTCTTTGAGCTACGTGATGTTCTTGTCTGGAGCCTCAGTGACAGGAAACTCATGATTTCCCTTCCCCCATGGATCATTCCATCTTTGGACAGTTCCGCTTATTAGAATTGGAGATTTAAAAAAAAAAATCTGACGTTTTTAATCCATGGTGTCTTCTGTTACAGTTTGCACTGAATGTGCCCTTTCCTGCTGTTCACTGGACATTTGATAACAATGAACTTGTCCCCTTTGTCTTTGGGCTGGTACATCCAGGTTTCCGTATTCTATCTTCGCTGGCAGAACTTTCTTTTCTTTTTCTTTTTGGTTTTTTGAGACAGGGTCTCATAACGTAGTTGAGACTGACCTGGAACCCATTATGTAGCCCAGGCTGGTCTCGAACTCCCAGCGATCCTTCTGCCTTAGCCTCCCGAGTGCTGGTGGGACTACAGAGGTGCACCACATGCCAGGCTTCCCTGGCAGGATTTTGAGTTCTTTCATCATCCTGACGGTTCTGCTTCGACATTACCTGGTGTGCAGTCCAGCAGCATCCCTTGTCAACTGTGGGATGAAGCAATTGGTGCATCTCTCCTGGTGCTGTCTGTCCAGGGAGGGAGATGGTTAGGGACTCGCATCTCCTGAGTTCTAGGTTCTCTGCTTATGTCAGTGAAGCTCAGGAGTTTTTACAGCAGGAGTAAATTTACCATTCCCCAAATCTCGAAGTCGTGCTTGTGTGCTCTGTGACTCAGCCACACTTTGGCCTGATCTGCAGCTAACAGAACTCTCTCCTTTTTCCTAGAATTGGTCGGGCATGAAGTGTCAGTTCAAGCTGCTGCGGATGGCTGTGGCCTTGATCTGTAGTAAGTACTGATGGACAGGCGGGGAAGGAAGCCTGGTGCCAGGGCCCAGAAACAAAGAGATGGCCCAGTCTTTGCCTTTCAGGCACTTTTAGTCAAAGAACAACACAAAACAAAACAAGAGTGAGGCATATCAGCCACATGAAGTAAGGTGGGGGTGTGAGAAAGCCTGTCCCCTACGCTCGCTGCTTCTTAACCCTTCTTCATAGTTTTGTGGACATAAAATATGTGAACAAAAAAGCGCTCAGAAAAAGAAAAAGAAAAGAAAGAAAAACACTCAGATCAAGAAAAATAACTTGTTTTTTTAAAAAAAGAAAAGTCACTCGTTGACCTGTAGGTTTGTAAAGTTGTTCCTTTGAGATCCTCTGCTGAAAGTCAGAGACCCCATTCAGATTATGTGCATATTGCACACACACGCACATGCATGGGTTAAAACTTGCAGCTTCAGAGGGTATGAAAATGTAACTAATCCATGAGCCCAAAAAGGCTGTGGTGGGTCCAGGGTTGGGACAGGTCGGTTCTGTCTGCAGAGGTTATTTGGGAGTTAAATGTGAATAGGCGTTCAGCAGGTAGCCGGGCTGCAGGGGGGCATGTCGTGCAAAGGGGCAGCAAGAACAAAGGCAGAGGTGGGTGGAGGGTCACAGCCAGCAAGCTGGGAGCAAAACTGACTAATGAGGCTTTCGGCTGTGTGTAAGACTGTGACGAGAATAAAGCTGGTGAGATCAGAAATGTCAGATTGTAATGGTTTTAAAGGCAAAAGAGAAAGATGTTCTTCATCAGAATGCACCGGGAGGTCACTGGAGGGCTTTCAACACAGCAGTTACTGACAGGCCGGAGGTGCAGGAAACCAGTCTGGGTGCAGAGTAGGGAGTGGGCTGGATGGCAGGAGACAGCCCACAGGGCTACTGTGAAATAGACAGCGGTGGAGGTGGGAAGAGAAAACGTATTCTCTCCTTCAGGCCTCAGAACATGCCCATGATGACGTTGTCATGAAGTCTATTTTTATTTTTTCCCCATTAAATTTATTGGTACATTAAAGGTAAACAACACAGTTCCATTCATCACTGAGATCTTGTACCTTTACGTGGATATCATTAAGTTGAATTCAGAGAATTAAGTTCCTTGCTCAAGGTCACCCAGCCGGCCTGTGCCATTTCCAGTGCCCCACACTTGAGCCAAGCTGGACGGGGCAGGGAGCAGTGGGCTTTCCCAGCCTGGATCAGCCGCGTGCTGTGGTAGGAGGAGGACGGGTTCAAGTCGGCCTGGCCTATGAGGCTCTGCTAATTCTTTGCCTCTTAGCCTCTGGGTGGCTTTGAGGACATCCAGTCCTCCGCCAACCTAATGATGGGCTCTCTGGATCCAGTTTCCTGGATAGGGTTAGAGGATCTCTCATTTGATAGGGGGGAAAAAATGTAACTCCCAACCTGCTAGATGTCAGATAGGCTGAGTTTGTGTTCCCTGAAGTCAAAGAATGAATTCTAAGGAACAGCAGAGGCTAAGACTAGGGAGGGCCAGGGATTTAGCTCAGTGGTGCTGCCACCTGCTTCAAAAGTGCAAGGTCCTGAGCTTGATCTCCGGTACCAAAAAAAAAAAAAAAAAGTAGGGAAATTTATTGGGGAATAGAAATAGCACCTGAGAGACAGAAAGGGGTCCTAAGTGAGCTACCAATGAGCCTACCTCTGAGAAAGTTTTATAGAGCAAAATCACGAGGTGGGTACAATGTAGGGTCAAAACTATACCCCCCCCAAATTTTAATCAACCAGTAAGATCACAAGTGTGGCCGCTTGGCTCACATTGATCCAGGAGTAGCGAGGACAAATGGATGACATCATTAACCTTAGTCAATAATCTAGTTTTAGTCTTGTCTTTAGTCTTAGTAGCTAAGAAAGGATGACCCGCCCCAATGAGCTAACAGTTTATTTATACGGGAAATCCCAAAAGGGTAGTACCAATAGTCTCTAACTTCCGCTGATCCCTTAGGGAAGTGTGTAACGCTGGCCCTTGTGACATTAATCTTCTTCTGATGCACCTGCAGCCACAGTCCCACTGTGTTCTCGTCCTCTGCACCGAGTCCCTCGAGGACCTGGCCCCGTCTGACTGCCTATAATACTTCTACCTAGCTTAGCTGTCTGTACTAGTCACAGAGAAGACTTTCTAGTCTTAAAACCATGGACTCGGAGGCAGAGCAGCAGGGGTAAGAGATGGGGGTGGGGTTGGCATAGCCTCCTTGTGTGCTCAGACTATGCTTTTTTGTCTGCTTTTGAGATAGAAAAGAGAAGCAGCAACCTCACTGTTTATAAAAATCCAACTCTAGGGCCTGGGATTTAGCTCAGTGGTGCCACCACCTGCCTCAAAAGTGCAAAGACACAAGTTCAATCCCCGGTATCAAAAAAGAAAGAGAGAGAGAGAGAGAGAGAGAGAGAGAGAGAAATCCAGCTCTAGGCATCATGAAAACTAAAATGCTGACTTGGTGTTGGAACCATTGTCTTTCAAATTTATTTCATTGATGCCAGGAACTGTTAAATAATTAGAAGCCAGAAGTGTGCTGGTGCCAGGCAGGGCTGGGAGGATTGAGCACTCCTCTGAGGCTGCTCCTTTCCCACCCTCTGTCGGCCGTCCTTGGAGTTGCAGGGCCCAATGCAGAGGGTTGGGCAATCTGGGAGGAATGGAGGTCCCTGTGGATTCTGGCATCCTAGGTTAGAGCGGAGAGAGGCACCCTGGTGGTTAAATAGTCACCAAACGAGTGTAGCGTACCCCTGAAAAGACCTCCGTCCCTTCTGTCAGCTTTGCCTTGGTTTTCTCGCTCATAAAATGGAGATAAGAATATTGTGCCTTCAGCTGGGTGTGAAGACAGTTAGGAGGATCGTCAGAGGTTCAAGCCAGCCTAGACTACATAGCGTTTTCTGAAAAAAAAAAAAGAAGTTCCTTCAGTATTCCTTTGGTATTAGGAAATACGATGGCACATCTGTCAGTAGCCATCCCTTCTGGAAACCGCATCTAGGGTACAGCATCCGCTGAAGGGGGTGGGGGAGGCTTCATCTCCATGTGATTGGCCTACCCAAAATGTTCATCAAAGGAGGGATTGGCCTGCAGGTGGTGGCATCTTCAAATTGTTGAAGGGAGAATTTCCAGAAAGCTGGTGGGGTGAGAGCTACAATCATTTATTTCCATTCCTTCATTGAAGTCATTAGTAATGTTCCTCCAGTGCGTCCTGGTACACTGAGGCTGAGACTTTATATCAGTGGACACACGGGGAAACTGAGTCCCTGGACTCAGGGCTTAAAATGACCCCAGAGGTGGCTCTGCAAAGATGGGACTTCTCTGGTCTGCTTGTGATGAGTCTCCTCTGAGGTAGGGCCTGCCTGACCCTGCAGACGAAGAGTCCCCCTCCTTGTGCCTGGCATTGATTCGACAGCACCAATTTCCCCCATGGAAGCGTCTCTTAATGAAATTGCTTTCTGTATGAAATTGTTTGCTGGTTTATTGCCAGACCCTGTAAGTGCTAGAAGTTTTATCAACTTCCTTGATCGCTGTGTCTCAGTGCACAGGTGGCACTTGGCCTTGTGACGGCAAATGAATTAATGGGTGGCTGGAGGGCCAGGTTTCTTCCCAGCCACCACCAGGGCCCTCCTGTGACTTCTCTGCACTTCGTCCCTTGCAGTGAGCATGGAGTTCGGGCGGGCTGTGTGGCTCCGGTTCCACCCATCGGCTTATCCCCCGTGTCCTCACCCCAGCTTCGTGGCACACTTGGGTGGCGTGGCTGTGGGCATCACTCTGGGCGTGGTGGTCCTGAGGAACTACGAGCAGAGGCTGCAGGACCAGTCACTGTGGTGGATTTTTGTGGCCATGTACACCGTCTTCGTGCTGTTCGCCGTCTTCTGGAACATCTTTGCCTATACCCTTCTGGACTTGAAGCTGCCTCCACCTCCCTAAGGGGCTGGAGGACGAGGTGGGGAGGGGAGGGAGAAGCAGCATCCAGAGGGGCACCTGCATCGTTTTCTCATCGCCAGCTTGATGAGGCCAGGGAGGAGAGGTTGGAGACTCTAGGCCACTGTGACGTTGAGGTTTAGATTTGAGCAGACAGTGGATGGAGGCTCTTCCTGAAAGGCACTGGTGGAGGAACTGAAGGTGGCTTCTGTGACTTCTCAGCTATTCTGATGTGATGGAGCCAGTCCGGCGGCTGGGGGAGGATGACAGTGGCTGTCCCCGTGCGCTGGGCTTGTTCCGTCTGGCTCCCCGGGCTCCCCTCTCCCCGTCACAGACCGTTGCAGCTTCTCCCTCATCTTCCACGCGGAGATCCTAAGAGACATAAGGAAGGTGTGAGGGTTACCGAGGCTAGGCAGGTCTTCCCCAGCCCAGGGACAGTGGCAGGCCAGGCAGTTTTCCCACCACAGCTCGGGGTCTGGAGCTCTGGGGTGAGAGGAGGGCCGGAGGGGGTCACCAGAGTCACCTCCTAGGCCTGCCAGTGAGCACACTGGGGCACAGCTGCTCAGGCCTGCCCTGGGAAGAACAGGGAAATGCTGTAGGCTCCAGGCCCCTGTCTTGCACTGAGGGACAAATGACAGGAACCTAAACTGGAGGAATAAACCTCATCCAATTTCTGCCGTAGGAAAGGCACAGGACCAACTTTAGACTTGTCTTGCGCTTTCACCCAGAACTCTGACATCTCACACCGACACGCCAGCCTCCATGCCTTGCCTTGACTTCCGGGTCTTTACTTTCCTTTCCACTGCCCTAAACCTACTTTGTGCCTCTTTTGGGACTGGAGACCGTGTTGGGGGTGCTTGTGCTTGTGCGTGTGTGTGCGTGTGATTGGAAGCACAGTGTGAAGCTGGGAGAGATTGCAGAGGTGTGCGTGGAGCATCTGCGTAAGGAGAGAGAAGGGTGCCGGGGAGGGAAGCCATGGTATGCTGTGGCATAGTTGCTGAGTGTCCTTAGTTTTAGCAAAGCCTGCCCCTTTTTTCCTGTCATCTGTCCCTTCTGGATACCTTCCTGAGCATCACTGATGAGCAGGAAAAACGGTCCATGCTGGAGGGAGACGGCAGGCCCTACCAAGTTCTCCTGGGACGTCAAAAGGAAACTTGCAGCCACATTCTGCTTCTATTTTATTTCTGAGATGCCGTTCCTTTCCAAACATGCCCTCCCTTGTCTCCCTTAGAAGAAACCTGAAGCCAGGCGTGGTGGCGCACGCCTGTAATCCCAGCACTCGGGAGGCTGAGGCAGGAGGATCACTGTGAGTTCGAGACCAGCCTGGGCTACATAGTGAGTTCCAGGTCAGTCTCAGCTGCATAGTGAGACCCTGTCTCAAAAAACCGGGGCGGGGGAGGAAGAAATCTGGGATGCAAGAGAAGCTGGGGCAGGAATATTGTCCATTTGAGTTGGTAAGGTAACAGGAAGCTATAGCAAAAGGAATTCTAGTTCAGGTGGAAAACTTTGCTCCCAGCAAGAATCGTTGGGGACTCACTGAGCGTCAAGGAGAAGACAACTTGTAAGTAAACTCAGACACTTAGAGCTGGGAAGGAACTTGGAGGTTTTTGAGTCCTCTCTTACCCCCATTTCCCAGTGGGAGAATGAGATTGAGAGAATGATCTCCCTCCATCTCTATCCCAGGACGAGTCTGGAGGGAAACCCTCTCCCCAGGCAGGGGGCACCACTGCTTCTGCCCCCTCCAGGGAAGGCACCACTCAGAATTGTACCATCACGAGCTTCTGCAAGCCCTGAGTGGGTATGAGGTGCCTAACCTTTGACAAAAATGTCAATCCCTTTATACTTTTTTTTTGAGACAGGGTCTCACTATGTAGTTGAGACTGACCTGGAACTCACTATGTAGCCTAGGCTGGTCTCAAACTCACAAGATCCTCCTGCCTCAGCCTCCCGAGTGCTGGGTTTATAGGTGTGCGCCACCACGCCCAGCGCTTCATGCATGTTCCAGAACTCTCAACCCCTGACAACCTAGAAGGACAGAGTCCCAGGCCTGGGTGGCACAGGGGCTGGGTTCATGCAGGAGCAAGGGTAGGACTGTGGTGATTTCCTCTCCCCCGCCTTGTGCCCAACAGAGCCCTTCTGTGTGGAGAGATTGAGAATCAGCCACACCAAGCATTTGGGGGTCTTGGCCACTGTGGCTTCCTGTCCTGCCTGATTACAAAGAAGTGGGCAAGGTCTTTCCACTCAGGAACACACCCAGTCACTGCAGTCTATGCCAAGGCCCTCCTCTTTGCCCAGCATTTGCTAGATGGTTTCTGTTCCCCACATGGGGCTCCTAGGATTCTCCTGTTTGTGCCAATGCTGTACTGAGATCTGTCCCCCTGAGGCAGTGTGGCCCACACCTTTGGCTGAGTTGAGTCAGCTTGTAGCCTCTTGCCTGTGTGCTCTGCCTGCTGATCTCTGCCCTAGTGATGTGTAAGTGGAAGAGTCCGTTTCTTCTGAGAGGACCCTGAGGGCCCAGAAGGGAGCCTGAGAAGAGAAGATTTGGTGAGGATGTAGAGGACACAGGACTTTGTCACCTCTGAACCGTGCCATCCCCACTGGAGGCACAGAGACAGTTAGAAAAGGGTGAGAAGGCAATGGAAGGTTCTAGAAGGCCCTCAGAGAAGCACCAGTTCCTTCCAGCCTCCAGATGAAAGCTTGTTACGGGCCACCTGAGGCAGGATCCTTCACATTTGGGGGGAGTCTTAGCCACACCTCAGGCCACCAACTCCACGTTGCTGTCTGTCTGTCAGCCACCACTCCCCGGCAGGGACAGAGACGCTAGGGTCATGTCACAGGACCCAGAAAGGTTCACGTTTTGGCATCCAGCCTTCTCTGCAGATCCCCTTTCTCCTGGTTCCCCCTCCCAGCGGCACTCGCCCACCTCTAGGCTTCTGCTTCTTTCCCACCTCCCTCTCCAGTGCGGCTGCCAGGCAGGACGCTGGGAGTGAGAGACTGGTGTCACTGTTCAGGCTGGTGGAGGTAGGTCAGCCTTTCAAGACAGAGATATCAAAAACCTGGGAATCCCCACACATAGCCATAGACTCGTTTGCTTGTTAAACAGGAGAGGAATCGCAGAAACTGAGGAAAGGAAAACAGGCCTTCAAAGGAGAAATTTTATTTTAATGACATCATTCATCATTTGTTTTTTTAATTAGGAAAAGCTCCCTAATGAGGCTCTTTTGCCAGCAAATGGAGCTCTCAATTTCCATGAGAGCCATTCTTGCTCAGAGCATTACGGGAGACATTACCCACAAAACTTAGATCTTCCTCCAGCGTCCAATTCAGTGTGCAGATAACGCAGATTGCCGGGTACACTGGAAGCCCTTTCCGACATCCTTCCTGTTGTGCCGAGGGCTGACTGCAAAGCACTAATTCTCCTCTGCCTTAAAAATGGTGTCCAACAACAAACTGCCCCTCCAAGGACTTGAATAAGTGCGGGTGGGGTGGGGGGAAAGAACAGAAGAAGAAAACACAGCTACAGTGTTGGTTTCTAAATATTTTTGTATTGTGTACATTCTGTATATTTTTGTTGTAACATATTATTTGAGCACGGATTCCATTAAAGATTTTTTTTTTTTTTAACCAGTAGATGTTCCGGAAGTGGCCTGAAGGGCTAGCGTGGGAGCTCGTTTCCACAGCAGGGTCAGGGTGGGTGGGAGAGGGGAAAGAACGGTGGTACTGGATCGGGGATTCGTGAAGTACAGGTGGGGCCGGGGATTTGGCTCAGTGGTCCTGCCACCTGCCTCACGAGCACAAGGTCCCGAGTTTGATCCCCAGTACCAAAACAACAACAACAACAACAGCAAACAAACACTTGGCACATGAAGTACAGACTGGGCATTGTGCTTGACACTGGTGTTTTAGTCTGATGGCTCTTCCTTAACCTCTCAAACCACTGAACTCATGAGTGATGAAAGCTGTGATTGCTCTTCCCATGAGAATGCGCATTTGTGGCAATTTTATGGATAATTTTGGGGGTGGGTGGCAGTGAGTAAGAAAATTCATCTCTAGCTTCAGTCAAGAACCTCTGGCGAGTGCCCTGCCTTCCCTCCCACTCATAGCCCACACAGCTTCGAGAGATTAGTATTATGACCATTGTTGGAAAAACCTTTTTCCTCTGGCTTTTGAAAACAGGGTCTCACTACAGCATGTAGTTCAGGCTGACCTTGAACTGACTCTAGCCCAGGCTGGCCTCTCACACCTTGGTGATCCTCCTGCTTCAGCCTCCCAAGTACTGGGATCACAGGTGTGCCGCAGCACACCAAGCTGGAAAAATCTTCGAAGTAGCCTTGGGGACTTATTTCTCCTCCCCACAGCTTAGTCCTTAGGTCCTGCAGGGGACTATCAAGGTCCTGATCTTAAAGTATAGAGATATTCTCAGGGTGAAGGGACATAAATGTTTCAGGTGAAGTCTGGGGCTTGGGAAGTGGCTTTGATTGGGTGAGGCCTGGGAAAATAAATTGCTTTCACTAATTTTTCTAAATCAGTGTTGGTGTATGCATGTAGTTTTGCCACTTTAAATGTCTCTTTGAGGATTAGGCTGCTGTGTTCCAATCAGCATGGAAGTTGTTTCCCCCAATATATATATAT